TTCCTTCATCTTTCTTTCTCCCTTTCCTATCCCTCAGTCATGCCTGTCCCGTCTGTAACAACTGAAAATAAAATAAAATAAATAATAACAACAAAGGTTAATCAAATGAAGCAATATGGCAAGGCCGTGATGATCCATTTGGCAAAGTAAATCCATTGGGTATCCTTGTTGGTCTTCAGACAACAATTCAGACAACAATTCTGACAAAAAAAAAAAAAAAAAAATGTAGCTTAAAAATAAAGCTAAAAATAAAGCTTTTCTTTTTCTTATAAAAGAAAAAGAAAAAACCCATTAACACTCGTTTCACCCTGTGGTGTTTTCCGCAGCATACAATACCTCAAACAGTGTCCTGGTACTCTAATTTATGTGCATCTGCTTGTTCTTTCTTCTTCTAAAAGAAGCACTCGTTATCATTTGCAATCCAAATGGCCTCGGCCATTCAGGACAGAAGTGGAAAAGCTGATTATGTTAATCAGAATGGAGCATGATTCACCCTGATGAGGATGACATCTATTCATAACAAGGCACTTGAATGACATTAATGTTTAAAAAAAAAAAAAAAATCCTAAGAATCTGTCAATTTCGATCTGCAGCGGGCTGCAGAAAGGAAATCCAGTGAAATAAATACGAGACGACGGCCGTATTTGCACCACTTCAGATCTTTAATTGTGCCTCTTCAGTGGTTTGACAAAGTGGACTACAGCTTATTTATTTTAAGCACAGATGGTTAGAAAATATGTCAGGGGTGATTTATTTTTCTCTTTAATGTGATGACTGGATGTTGCGGTGAGATTAATCTCATGTTACTGTGTCAACACAGCACTGCATTTGATTTAAAGCCGTCAGGTGGGAATGTGTTTTTAAAGCATGCATGCTTATGTGTATGATAAGAGAGATTTGAATAAACAAATGATTCTGATAATTATGCTAAAGATTATAACATAAAAATATACATTAGCAGAGGCATGATAAGAGAGCCATGGCACTCAAAGAATCCTGATTACACATCCGCAGTTTAGCTCCTGTCATAAAAGAGCCAGTCAACAGCTGAAACTAGGATATACGACCCAATCAGTGGGTAATGTTGCATTGGCACAGTAGAAGTCTATCACACGCTTCTACTGCACATCTGCAACCTTAACAAAGATGTAGATAAGTCAAATTACATTCATGCAAATAAGCTTTAAGATTAGATTTGTTCAGTGGTTTGTTCAGTGGTTGTATAAATATTGAAATGCACTCCCATTTATACAGTTCTTTTATAATCTTAATGACTAAAAGTCCCATTTTAACCCCCATTAAGCAACATACATTTATACAGCACTTTAATTACCTCATACCCACGGCATATTCAGAATCACCAGTTAACCTAATGGTCTTTGTACCGTGGGAGAAGGCATGAGAGAACGCACACAGGCATAGGTGGGGATCGAGCCGGTTATAAGCTTGCTGTAAGGCTACAGTGCTAACCACTTGACCATCATGGCCATCCATGATAAACGGCCCTGAGCCATGAAGGAAGAAATAATGAGTATTTTTTGTGGGCATCAAAGAAGTTGATGAAAAGCCCTTTAACCCTCATTCTAGGCAAAGCTTTAAAGCAGTTTTTGGTTTGACTTGGTTGCTTTTATACAAGCTGTTTTTATGTAACATTAATTAATTTGTTACATTTTATGTAACAAATTAACGATATGGCTCTCTCCTCACCACAGACAGCATTAAAGATGTAGCTTCTAGGTCTAAAAAGCAAAGGTTGATCCTTAAGTAGCCTAAGCCTAAATTCACTCTAATGGGCATCAGGGGGCGAAAGCTGTGGATACTGAAAGACTCTGAGCCCTGTAGAAGTCACACAATCTGATATCGTCGTGTTGGTGTTGTTCCCAGATCAACATAGTAAATGTTGTTCCAGGATCAACATTGCAAGTGACCAATCAGAATGTTGTGACGTCATACTTTTGCGACTTCGGGAAAAACCGCCGTAAAACAAAAAACTGTGTACTTAAGCTGCGAGAAACCGCCTCTGTCCGCCGATCAGCGGACCCTGACCCTGACCCTTTAATAAACACTATGCAGCATTGATATTGTCCTTGCAACATTGGAATTTCATAAATGCACAAATGGCTTGGCGCGCCAAAGAATAACGTCACAAGAATGTGATTGGTCACTTGCAATGTTGATCCTGGAACAACATTTACTATGCTGTTCCAGGAACAACACCAACACGACGATATCAGATCATCCGTAGAAGTCGGTCTCTGTGTTTCAGAAAGGTACATTACCCAGCACATGCTCGAATGCTAATGACTTGTAATTGACAAATCGTTATCCAGTGAGTTGAGTAGTACAGCGGTCCCCAACCCCCGGGGGGGTCCATGAGTCGTTTGGTACCGGGCCGCGTGAGTTGAGGCTCAGGTGTGAAATGTATGGTTTTCAGGGTTTTCAACGTTATTTTGTTATCGTTTTTATCGTTAACTCAGTTTTCCTGGGTCTTTTCACGTGCGTTATGAATAAATCTTCTTTTTTTCGGTACCGGTACTAGTTTTATTTTGTTGTATTTATCCGCGACACCTGTGAAAATATTGTCGGGCATAAACCAGTCCGTGGCGCAAAAAAGGTTGGGGACCGCTGGAGTAGTAGGTGAAAGCAGTTATTTTTATGTATTTATTTGATGTTACATAGGTAGGCGAGTGACAAACTATTATTGCTTTTAAATAGGGCTTTTCGATATAATGATATATATAAGATGACGATATGAAAACGTCTATCGTTTCATATTATGCTATCGTTTGTTTTGTGGTGTTGCAAAATAAACTGTTTACGTCAATATTTTTCATCGTTTTGATGGTCACTGTAGAATTTCTTAAAGTTCTCTCTTTCTCTTATATTTAATATAACCACACTATGGACGGACAAACGACTGTTCTTATGCGTTGTCGTTAGCAACAACGACGGTCGTGTGCCTCCGCTGTCCGCTTGCTTATTTTCCACATAAACCTTTCAAAATAAAGCTGAAGATCCTGTTGAGATTTTTCAAAATCAACTGAATCACGTGAAATAGTATGCTGAGTGTTTACAGATGAGAAGCTAAAAAGAGCCGTCAGGTGCTAAAAAATAAACCTTAGAAAAAGTTTTTCCCCCGCAGCACGCCGTGTAATAAATGGTCACAAAGAAAATTGCGGCTGTTTCAACTTATGTAACACTCGACTCCAGAGAAGTTTGGTGCTACCAGCATGTTGAGATGTTTATTGCTGCCTCTCCTGTTTGAGGTGGTGGTGGGTTTTTTTTTTTTTTCCTTAAGGTGGCCTGAATGGGTTGGTCATGTTTCAAAGGCAGTTCTGATGAAAGATGCTTATCCCAAATGGTGTCTGGAGCCAGGTGGCATGAAGATAATCATCTGTAGTGTTTCATGTGCAGTGTGTGTAACACATGTGAGAAATTAAATCACAGAGCTCCAACTCAGCTTGTGTGTGTGCTGTTGAGCAATATCTTGTGTTATCTGACTGTAATTTCCGTCTTTTTATCGATCTAAGTGATAACTTGTTTGGTTCGCCTGCAGACCAAATATAAAAAATGTCAGATAGCGATCGAAGCGTCCCAGACAAGAGAAGGAACACGCATATAATAAGACGGGCCCTCTCACCCATCAATAATCCATCACACTGATGCACTGTTTCTCATAATAGAGTCGAATAGACCAAGCCTCTCATCTTGGGAGTGTGTGCTTGTCTTAAGGGGTTTACTGTGTTTACTCTGACAGTAGCTGTTCACTTCCTCTTCACCCTGTTTACCCCTTCAGCTACTGCCAGCATAAAATACACCAGATGGCTTTACCACTACAGATTGGAAGACGCATATTCAAAACTGCCCATTTGAACTGTGTGCAATCTCTAAAGGGCAGAGGGGCGTAAGAATTGCCTCAACCTTTACATTAAACAACACCAGCTACTTCTGCTCAACAAGATCCTGAAGTATTCTGGAAGAGCCAGCTTGAGCGAAGTAGCAAACTGAAGGCAGAGAGATGGCCCCTGACCGGACTACAACCCGAAGAGGAACTATAACACGGGAGCAGATGGATACTGTGTGACCAGCTGAGCCCCCACACAGTTAGCACTCTGCCATTTAAAGGTCTTCAGCATCCGCATCCATCCTCATTCTGAGTGTGGAGGTGGAAGCACCAGGACAACAGGCAGCATTTAAAAATAGATGTTTCAGTTACAAGAGATTTGTATATCCGAGTCTTCACGTTGCAGTCGTCATAGAGACAGAAAGAATGCCTTTTCTCTAAGCACAGTATGACAACAAGTGATAAAAAGGTGATAAATAGGCAGAAAAAGGGTAGAGACAATAGAATTTCTACCTTCCATTGGTGTATTAGGGTCCGGTCTGTTCGCGAAAACCACATCCACGTAGTCTAACTGCAGTCTTTCTAAAGAGGCTTTTAAACCTGGAAAATAGGAACCACAGTTGAGCAGCAATGGTACTGTGACTGCAAATATCAAAGTGTATAGAAAATTAGTGCAGAGGATTATCAAACTGCATACTTTAAATGGGTTACTGACTGTAGCTAAAACTTTTCCAATAACTCCAGGGGAGGCGTCAGTTTTTAAAATGAAGCTTTGATTCCCTTGACCCAAAGCTATTAATTAATTTTGTTGTTGAAGTGTCAACATTTAATCCAATAATACGCAGCACTGCTACTTACCTTCTATAATGTGTTTTCGGGATAAACCTCTTTCAGTTTCCGCTCTATATGAAAACAAATACAAAAGAAATGAGAGTGTGTTTGACACCATTATTTAAAATGTGACTGGTACGGCTCCTGGACGGTAACATAATATCATTTTATCCTTTATGAAATATGAGCGATGTTTCCAGCTTTATTGAAAGCACCTGACAACAGATCAGTTTGGATGACACATGATCCCATTACCAGGAGCATCAGGATCAAACAAGTCGAGAAAAATTACACGCGAGGGTAGTTTTTCCATTTGGGCAAACAGCAGAGTTAAGGATGAAACTTACTTTCCACCCCAGAAGATCTTTGTTGTTATCACCAAACTCGAACGTCTGGAGAAAGAAAAGAAAAAGTAAGCACACATCTGTTACAACATCTGCCAAGCAAACATGCTGAACTACATCAAAAAAAGCACTGGAGTTGCTTATGCACATGCACAAACTATAATCTTTAGGTCATTCATGTGTTTCTACCTTATTCTATCAGCATCACTCTCGCACACATCCTACAATAACGGTGTCTGTGCCAGAACGCAAACAATGCCAGTGAATGAGTGCTGCGAGCACATAAACCTGATCTGATATAACCTGAGCTATACAAATACCCATACAGGACCGACAAAGTAGAAGACAAGCCACTAGAAGTTCATCCATTATTTATCATCTTTGAGGAGGAGACACTGGAGTGTGGCAAGGCTGCCCACATTAATCTTTCATCTCCCCACCTTACTGTTCCGGTTCACAACACACAAGCCTCCCAATATGTGCAGAGGAACGAGATGATACAAGATTAGGCCAGATGGCTGGGAAGGAAATAAAAAAAAATAAAAAAAATAAAAATACAAAATGCAATTAAAGTGTGCCTCATATCATACCTCCATCCTTTCTTCTTTATGATGTTTCCGAGCACCACCTCTGCCCTATGAAACAGATGGAAAGAGAGCATGATTAAAAAAAACATTAAAAAATAATAGATAGTCTTGAAATGATATGAGCACTTATATCCGACTGTCTCAAGATTTAATTATTTAATTGATTAACGCAGTCCAATTCTTCGCCCGGTCCCAGCTGTGCTGTCGAGCCACCACCAAGTCACTCATTAGCAGCCACAGGGGTGCTAATGAGTGACATTACGTTCAACACGGGGCTCATTAGGGCTGGGCAGAAACCTGTCAGCAGGATGTCTCTCCAGCTCCCTCTGACAAATAATGAGACACCTCCTTGTGACACAGTTTCACATAAAATCCAACTGGCTGTAGAGGTAGAAAAAGCGTCATGCCAGCTAAGATTTGTTTACGTTTGCCGATGAGTGCAGCTAGCACCTCTAATTGACACCGTTTTCAAATATTACGGCAAGTATCCGATTTGTGCACAAATTCAAGGACCACAATTTACCCCCAAGCACAGCACATTACAGCTCCTGTCATTGTGACAGTCTGAACAGTTTCAGTAATGTGCAAAAGTTTAAGGTATCAGAATACTTTATTAATCCCCGAGGAAACTGTGTGGGTTACAGTTGCTCCAAGACAGTAACAGTAACAGACTAAACTATTTAAATAGTGCAATATGTTTCAGATATTACAAATTTAAGAAATGGAACTAATATCTACAAATAGCTCAATTATAAATATCAAGAATATTACAGAGGTGGTTATAAATATCAAGAATATCAAGAAGTTTAGGAGTTTTAGATTTGCACAGATCACACAGCAGATTGATCATCCACACATTTTAAATCGCAGTGAGAGTCACAATGGCATACCCACAACCCCCCAAAAAAGACAAGAGGCCACAAATGGTAAATTCCTAACCTAAATATTTCAATACAAGATTACTTGGCAGAAAATAATAAGCTGGCTCTAATTATGTGGAAGTATTAAGGACAGCTGATACCAAAGAGAATGGCACAACGATGTTTGTATAAAGTCGAATAATGTGCAAGTTGTTTTTTTTTTTAAAGAATAATTTTGAAACCTTTTCATGTTTATACATTACTTGAATATCCTGGTATTTCTGTATGAAACATAAATGGGGAAACTACCTATATTTTTGAGTGGAAGAACACTTTTGTAAATCTGGAATTACTTTTAAATTTGTTTGAACTTTCAAGAATAATAGCAACAAGAATTAAGTACAAAGTTGGCAGGATCAGTTGTCAGGTTAGCCCATTATCCTTAGGCCTCTGAAAAAGGGAAACAATGTATAAAATCATCAGCAATTCCAATTAATGTACAATTTTCTGTTAAATCTCTTAAATTACAGCTAGAAATCTGCACTTCAGTTACAAATAAATCATTCATATTTATGTATTTTTTAAAATCAGAACTATATTGATACACCAATGATTGATAACCATGGGTTATTATGTATCACAACTCAAAAAAAAATTCGATTATAAGCACATAATAAACTTTGTAGTGCTGTACCCTTTTTCCTTTTTTCCCCTGCATCCTAATATTCGACAGCTATGACCAGTCCTGCTCATGTGTACCACTTGCTAATATATGTATGCAAAGCATGGATGTATGAATGATTAAAGGCTACGCTCACACTGCAGGTCTTAATGCTCAATTCCGATTTTTTGATCAAATCCGATTTTTTTGTCTGCTTGTTCACACTACAAATAAAATGTGACAGCAAACGCGCTCTAGTGTGAACGCTCAAAGCGGCCCGCATGCGCAAAAGAAGACATCACACACAACACGCTCTGTTTAGACCCAGACCAAACAATATTGTTTGACTGATGGCCCTTAATGTAAAGACTTTGGATTTGATGCGCTTTCGCCTGCAGTGTGAATGTAGCCTTACTTTAATATTCAGGGGCCATTTGTTTGTTTGTTTCGCTTTTGTCTCCATTTCAATTGAATATTAAATCCTGCATAACATTTTTGTACCATTTATCACCACCTTTTGTTTGCCATTTATTCAAAGATAAATTTAATTAAATATTCAACCTCCCCACTCGTGTGTTTGTGCCTCTGTACATTCTGCTGATCCAAACAGCAGCTGCCCAAGTACAGTAGACACTGCATTATTATTCCAAGTGATTTCAGCCCCTGCCAGCTGGACTCGCATCTTTTTTAAACAACGAGCAATGAACACTCCCCTGAGAGCAATGATGTGTGTGTGTGTGTTTCTGGCTCTTAGTATTGCCCCTTTGAAATGTGAGTAATTTGAGTGACCAAACATAAGGTTCACTGAGCCTCGAGCAGGTTGCCTTTCTTCATCCACCCATTAATTAAAGCTTTGCTTTATTTCAATGCTGAGTTGCTTTCTGACTTAGGGCAGAAGCAATGATGTAATGCGGCACTACTCATGGATTCTTTATATTTTATTACTTTCACATTCTTCAGGGCTTATGCCACCTGTTTTTCACCATGTCACACATTTAATATTGATCTCCAGCAAAATGCCTCTGAGCCTGAGAGAAAACAAAGACTAAAATTCTGTTCTGCCAATTACTGCCATACTTTGAAAAGCTTTCGTGCCATGTGTGCTTGCTGATAAGAGCAGCTACATGGGTTAAGCACAACACATTTGTTTGTGCAAAGAGACATATTTGTTTATATTTCTCAGAAACAGTAGCTCATGTATTCGGATGGATATGCTAATCAAGCGTCACAATCAATATTTGAATATTCTTGTGCGTTCAGTGTTTTGTTCCGTGACCAATTTTTTAGTTGAGGGCTAAGCTACAACAAACAGCCTACAAATCTCATTTATTTATCTGTCCAAGCTCACCACACAGAATCGACTTCACAGCAGCTGACTGTGCAGCCACCAACACCACCACTTCACATCCTCCAAGCCCGACTGATAGAAAGAATCCTAAGCCACAACCGAGGACTTCACATGAAAGCTTTTTCCATTATGACGCGCAAACTGTGTGATTTGTTCGACTCCTTCTCGTGTGTTTGTGTGTAATATAAGCTCCTTGGTGCTGCTTTGCAGTGGAAGCTGTCAGGATTAACACCTGTGCAACACATTTCGAGCTGTGTGACGTGCTGTCACAAACACTTGCACGTGCCAGGCTTGTCCTTTCTGTTCAAGTGTGGTTCTGGTTTATGGCAGCACGATGATCAAAGCCAGAGTTGGTTTTGCTTCTGTGTCAAAGATCAACCTCTCTCATGAATAAATCAACAAGACTGCTGAAAACTCCCCAAAACATTAACATCGTGGTGTGATGACGTGCATCAGACCACAGCTGCTGAGGCATTAGATGCGAAACGAGGACAACCACTGAGACCTACAGCTTGTTTCTCCTCTTTTGTTATCTTTTGATTTCCCTTTCTGAGACACAGGGACTCTGATGCATCTCCCCAAACATAATGGAAAAAATAGAATAATCTCAGGAGGATTTAAACAGGAGACTTGCTCCCGTTAATAAGAGACACTATTTGCAAAGGATAATCCCTTAGATTATTTCACAGCACCCAGGCTACTACAAAGCCAGACTAATCCATACTGGAATTTAAACATCCACTACATCCAGCAATAAAGCAACATGCTTTCTGAGGTTAAAGTATCATCACTGCCCATCCCCTAAATTTATGCCACGAATACCCGAACCCTGACAAATGGCACTTTTCGTTGTGAAAAGCAGGCCAGGCAGACATTAATTTCTTCTCCTCCTTTAATAATAGCCAAGAAAATGAGGAGTTGATTCATCGAGATAAACATACTGTGGAGCTTACCCAGAGGCTGAATGCCATTAAACTATTGTTTGAGAAGAGGGTAAAATGAGACGACATAATTATTAGCATCAGTTAAACCTCAAACCATGTGAAAAAAAAACGATGGAAATAAAACATTTATGCATTTCCATCGTCATATATTCATTTAATAAAGGTTAGTTTGTTTAGAATGCACTTTGTCACAAAACAGCTCTAGCGTGTCCGCTGTAAAAAACAAAAAACAATTAAGATACACGTGGAAAATATACCACGTGTATAGAGATGAATCCTGTAACGCCAAAAGAAAATTCATCCACCCTGGGACTGTTGCAGAACGTCTCCAAGCCTCTGCATATGATGTCGATGTTAAATTGTAATGTTGTGATTGTCATGTCTTTTCTGTCTTTTATTTAAATGAACTTATATAAAAAGAAGGTCACCCAGAGAACCCCTCCTCAGACGACTGTCCAGATTTTAAGTTTTAAAGAAATTCTGCTTTACAGTTTTTATGTATTCTAGGAGACAAACAATTCAGTGCTCTCAGGAAATGTGAGATGGATATTTGGCATATTGGTAAGTTACCATAAGTAAAGACAACATGCTGGCACCTTGACTCTGTATTACATCACTTCTAAATGTGGAATATTTGTGCACCACTATAGCTCAAACACCTGACTGGAGTCTGCAAGTACATAACCTCTGCTTGCCTTCATAATCAATCACACATTAGCAGTTTGGTAATGTTTGCTGCTACCACTCACTCCTAAGTGACTCGCCACACAGGATATACTCACTTGCCAGCAGCGTAGACCTCCGCTGTGTCAAACAGATTGATGCCATTTTCATAGGCCAGAGTCATCAGCTGCTCTGCCATCTGTTGAGAGAACAGGGGAGAAGGAACAGAGAAGGAAAATGATGGGGTGAGACCACTGATGTGAGGTGTTAGTAAATTTTTATTATGAAGCTGGCTTCACAGGACTAGAGTCTGCCTGTTGACTCTGTCAGAAAAGTAAAAATAGGCTTCTTGAGCAACCTAGGATATCTCAGATCATATGGAGGGTTTCCATTCCAAAGCTTTGATGGATAGAAGCTGACAAAATGCATCTGCTCTCACCTCATCTGTTATCTGTCCACCAAACGTCACCCATGTTCCTAAAGGGAATAACAGAGAAGTGGGGTCAGAGAATTAGTACACAAACATGCAAGTAGAATAAGAACCTTTTTGTTCTTTCTGACATACTTAAACTCAATTTTTTCACACTCTGTTTAATAACACTTTCTCTCTGTATAGAGAACAGGTTTTATATTGGCCTCCCCGGTCTGTCATACTGAGTCTACAGCATGCACAAACAGTTTGTCTTGTGATCTTACCTAATCCAAGGCAGGATACCCGCAAGCCCGACTTCCCGAGGTTTCTGTCAAAACAGAGGAAAATACATTAAAACTAATGCCGCACTGAGGTGGCAGTGATTTATGATCTTTTGTCCTCAGGCGGTGGCTGTGACCAGCACAGTCTTTCAGGAATGACTGTTTGAAAAACAAAATAAACAAAAAACCCTATCGAGCTTCACTAGAGTTCTCTCATCTTTAGGTTGTTGCTGCAGTGGAGTGACAGAAGCTGGAAAGAACAAGACTTTGTATGGATCTGTAACTAGCCCGAATGAATGTGAGAGTGAATGAATAGTGGTATTGTAAAGCGCTATGAGGGGTCCCGAAAAGCGCTATATAAATGCAATCCATTATTATTATTATTATTATTATTATAACATAGTGCAGCACTGACACATGTTGAGGGGATGGCTAACGAAGCACATCAACGTATGAGCTGACAATGAGAAGGTGTTTGTGCTCACCAAAATGTCGGGGGGGGAATCAGAGACAGGAAGTGAGTATTAAGCAGTCCCACCATGACATCCACTGAAATTTCTCACAGCACACCAGGATCCCTCAGCCGCCATCTGACTAAAATCCCCTGCAGCAATGCGGAAGCTTGACTACACACAACAACTTGCTCCTAAAGCTGGCGTCTCTGAGCCAATCACAGTCCAGACAGACCCCTCTGGTTGACAATCACAGCTTTGGTTAGGTCTTTAGCTTGTGCAAGCTTTTGCTTGTGCAAGCTTTTAAAGTTTTCTAATATGCCTGTGGTTCCTCAGTATCATAACAGATTTGTTATGAGCACTGTTATATAATCATTTCACAAGGAAATCAAACCATCTCTTCTGGTCTGCAAAAACCTGACGACTACAATATTTTATTACTTCAGAGTTTTCTGATCTAAGACATTAAAAATACAAAACCAAACATGCTGCTTTTGGTCAAACACCTTCACGAGATAATCTGGCAGTGTAAAAAAGATAAAAGAAATGTGGCAGAGATGATGTAACGTGTGCAGGAGTCAACGTAAGTATGTGGGAGGCTATCTAATATATTTTTATAAGGCTGGCTGTATAGAAGAGCTGAAATGAAAAAGGGGTAGAGAGGGAGACAAAGGTGTGCATGTGTGTAGATGTGCGTTTTATATGGCTGCTTGTAACAAGTGGGACTGTGCATGCATGTGAGTGGGTGTTCTGTGAAGCACTGATAAAATTGCTGCAGTAACTAACAACACACTTTCTTCAATGTGTTCTTAACACCAAGTTCAGAAACAGAGACTAAAGCTGCTGAAACCTCATTGTTATCGTACATTATCTAAGTCAGTTACTGTACACTTGTTTAGCACATAAACAAAAACAAAACAATTAAGCTTAAGGATTTACCTTTCATGCTCACTACCATCCAACAATATTGGCTCAACTTCTGGGTCAGTAAACCAACATAGATGCTCATGGAGTCTATTTATTTCTATTCTTTGGTTTCTGAGAAAAGCTCAATTTTCTAAGCCATCAAATGTTTGGGTGAGATCAAACAACACTGAAAATTCAGTTTGTGTATTTTGCCGTTTGTGTTCCACTTGTTTCTACGAAGAGCCTCATTAAAATGATCCGTTTGGGTCAGTGAAGTCTGGCAGTCGTGTTACACTGTAAATCAGAGAGCAAGATGACATCACATATAGGAGCCTCCTGCTTTATAAACAAACAAAGTTTGTCATGAGGGAGAAGTGAGCGTGATCTAATGAGTCCATGTGTCCTAACGCTGCATCGCAGTACAAGTCTACTGTGGCAAACCACTGGAGCCCATCAACAATTAACTGCCTCTTAATTGCAAGAGTAAAACTGCCCCTCGGGACGCTGTTGTGCGGCATCACAGAGATAACCAACACCAAGAGCAGTTTCCTGACTGAAACTGTCAGTGGAGCATGTTTGCTCCAGAGTATTTAATGATTTTAGAGTTCACAACTATATTAAGAAAATGAGATGCAAAGTAAACATTTCCATCAGGTGCATTAAAGCGTATTACAAAGCAAAGTTTTCTGTCTTAACTGTCACATGAGCACGCTAAAACATGAATACTGCACAGTGGATGTGAATGTACAAAAAGAGAGGAGTAAAAGAATAACCGTTCCATCATTGTCATTGTTAGGATGTACCTTTGTCAGCACACTGTTCTCTTCAATATTTTACTGGAGTGGCCTTGAATACTGCATTGTGCATTTCGGCAACAATCCTCCACCAGGGCCTGCAGGTACGCAGGAGTCAAGTTCCTGCTGAGCCTCAGCATACATGAACCGCAGCAGTAAAGTCATCCATCTCACAGCCTCCTCAATAATGAGGGAGACAGGTACAGTACAGGACAGTAACAACACTGTAGCCACACGGACAAAGCCAGAAAGGACCCACCGAATCGGACAGATGCGAAGTATGCGCAAAGCCCAAGTGGAAAGGGGAAGGGTTTTCACTGTGTCACACTTTGTGTGATTAAACAGGGCCTGGAGTCTGTTTAGGGTTTGTTTACACACGTGTTACACAACACTTTAGCGTGATACAAAACCTGGATGAGAATGTTAATCACTGCAGATATTTTTCCTTTCAATTTATAGGTTAATTTTAAGTCAGAGAGATCTCCTGGACCACCCCTGACTCTTTTTGTTGTGTATTAATTATTTAAATAGTAATTTGCAGATTACTGACTCACTACGCAGCAACACAACAAAAATATAGCTGAAAAAAAAACATCTTCAATCACAAAACAAGCAGCAGACACTATGGCTTCCAATAGCACCATCTTATTTTGTGTGTTCATTGCATGAATTAAATAAATAAAAAGATAATTATCTGTCACGTTACTGTAGCTTTGCTTGTCAAAAGGAGTCACACATTTTCTATCTGCCAAGGCTTAAATGGGTAACTTCCCATAAATAACACAGTCCCATCTAATAATTTCCCTGAACACAAGTTTTCTAGAGGTCCCACTGGGGCAATTAATACAATTTTATACATCAATATTATTTAACATGTTATGCAGTGGCATCTATCAGCTTAAGAATTAAGCTGACACTACAGACAGAGATGTCCTGCGATACCGAGCAGGGCATGCAACCCTTAGGCCTTTTAAATTCAGATTTGATAACATCATATCAGCCATATACACTGATGAAACAAAACATTAAGTCCACCCCCTGCCTATTTGTCCTTTGTATGTAGTAAAACATCTCCTAGCTCTGCAGAAGCCTCTAAAGGTGCCCTGTGTTATCTGGCAACCAAGATGCAGATGCAGACCCAAGTCCTGTAAGTTGTGCTTTGTAAATGCCACAGATTTGATTTGTTCCAGCACATCCTGCAACACTGTGGTGCCAGTTTATGGGTTATCCTGCTCAGACTAAGACTAAGTCCTGTACTGTTTCGCCTTCATGAGATACAGAATATTACAAAACATACTATGAAAACAAGCTGTACTCTTACCCAATAATACATCTGCTCACACTGCTCACCACTGTTAGAGCTGATCTAAGGTGGGAAAATTACATAACAAAATCAAAGGGAAAACTTGGGTGAGCAAAAAGTAGAGCTGGTGGCATCCAATATCAGAAATTAATCTCAGCAGAATCTCCAGATTCAATGCACAACGATTTCTCACACAGCTATGATGCTACAGGGAGTGCAGAATTATTAGGCAAATGAGTATTTTGTCCACATCATCCTCTTCATGCATGTTGTCTTACTCCAAGCTGTATAGGCTTGAAAGCCTACTACCAATTAAGCATATTAGGTGATGTGCATCTCTGTAATGAGAAGGGGTGTGGTCTAATGACATCAACACCCTATATCAGGTGTGCATAATTATTAGGCAACGTCCTTTCCTTTGGCAAAATGGGTCAAAAGAAGGACTTGACAGGCTCAGAAAAGTCATAAATAGTGAGATATCTTGCAGAGGGATGCAGCAGTCTCAAAATTGCAAAGCTTCTGAAGCGTGATCATCGAACAATCAAGCGTTTCATTCAAAATAGTCAACAGGGTCGCAAGAAGCGTGTGGAAAAACCAAGGCGCAAAATAACTGCCCATGAACTGAGAAAAGTCAAGCGTGCAGCTGCCAAGATGCCACTTGCCACCAGTTTGGCCATATTTCAGAGCTGCAACATCACTGGAGTGCCCAAAAGCACAAGGTGTGCAATACTCAGAGACATGGCCAAGGTAAGAAAGGCTGAAAGACGACCACCACTGAACAAGACACACAAGCTGAAACGTCAAGACTGGGCCAAGAAATATCTCAAGACTGGTTTTTCTAAGGTTTTATGGACTGATGAAATGAGAGTGAGTCTTGATGGGCCAGATGGATGGGCCCGTGGCTGGATTGGTAAAGGGCAGAGAGCTCCAGTCCGACTCAGACGCCAGCAATGTGGAGGTGGAGTACTGGTTTGGGCTGGTATCATCAAAGATGAGCTTGTGGGGCCTTTTCGGGTTGAGGATGGAGTCAAGCTCAACTCCCAGTCCTACTGCCAGTTTCTGGAAGACACCTTCTTCAAGCAGTGGTACAGGAAGAAGTCTGCATCCTTCAAGAAAAACATGATTTTCATGCAGGACAATGCTCCATCACACGCGTCCAAGTACTCCACAGCGTGGCTGGCAAGAAAGGGTATAAAAGAAGAAAAACTAATGACATGGCCTCCTTGTTCACCTGATCTGAACCCCATTGAGAACCTGTGGTCCATCATCAAATGTGAGATTTACAAGGAGGGAAAACAGTACACCTCTCTGAACAGTGTCTGGGAGGCTGTGGTTGCTGCTGCACGCAATGTTGATGGTGAACAGATCAAAACACTGACAGAATCCATGGATGGCAGGCTTTTGAGTGTCCTTGCAAAGAAAGGTGGCTATATTGGTCGCTGATTTGTTTTTGTTTTGTTTTTGAATGTCAGAAATGTATATTTGTGAATGTGGAGATGTTATATTGGTTTCACTGGTAAAAATAAATAATTGAAATGGGTATATATTTGTTTTTTGTTAAGTTGCCTAATAATTATGCACAGTAATAGTCA